GAACATAATCCAAAAAGACAACGCCTGACCTCCGAATTTGTTGAATAGTTATTGGGGTCTGAATGGCTCAAAGGAAACAGCCATTTGAGGTCCAACGACTGGTCTTTTTCCCATCCAGAAAATAGACCATCGAAAGCCAAATGAACAATTAGTCCAATGGACTAATTAATTAATCCATGGACAGTGGAAACATCAACCCCGAGACAAGAAGAACTAGATAGTGCCCAGCCCCCACTGCCAACTGCTTGGAAAAGACATTTGAAGGTCCTGGGAAGAGTGGACGGAAAATGGGAAGCTGAATTCAAAATTGTGAGAGAACAGACTTCACTGGTTGGACAGAGACTGGTGGAATCTCCAGGACTCTTGTCTTTAGTCCCTTTTCAGGACTGGACCTGAACTCACTGCTGTTAGAATAACCAATCCTGTGAGATAAAAAGGGACAACACTTACCCAAGGATAAAGTTCAGAGGGCTAGACGTGGCAGGATGCAAACAAGAACGGGGAGGAGGTGGGATAAATGGTGGTCCATTGAGGGGACTATAATGGAGGAGTCGAGTCCGCACCATCATTGCTGAAGAAGAAATGGCCTGCTCTGTAAACCTTCACCGAATTCACAAAACGCTTCTTTAAAAATCAGAATGTCTGCTCTATAAACACACACCGCTCAGAAGACACCTTGTTTCAATTGTCTGGGGGTTTTATGATTTTAATATAACTGACTTGATCCAATTTGCTGTGTGTAACGTTCCTTTTAACAGCATGTTCGACGCCCTCAAGTGAGTTCTGGTTCACAAGACTGTGCACAATGGAAGGAAACACTGCCTGGTCCTGTGCTAACCTCACAACGGTCCTGTTTGTGCCACTGTTATAACCATTGTGTCAATCCATATCATTGAGGCTCTTCTTTTTGCGGACCCTCTCTACCCTGATGTGCTGCTCAGGAGGGACTGGCTCCTCCTGATAACAAGTCCATAGTCCATGAGACAAAGTCTTTTCATTCTCACCTTTAAAGAATATTCTGGCTGTACTTATTCCAACACAAGATTTGTTTGTTTGTTTGCTAGCAGTCAGTAGAAATTTTAATTATCTTCACTGACACCACAATTCAAACCCATCAACTCTTTCTTCTCTGTCTTCCGTTTTCTTTGTCCAGCTTTTGCATGAAGATGGCCGAGATGTACGACTGCAATTGCTTTAAAAATTATCTTCATAAAAACGTTCCTGGTACAATAATGACGTTGTTCAATAATTTACCCATTAGAGAAAATTGCTCATTTTGTTAGGTTGCCTTTCTTTGGAATGGGCACAAAAATGGGTATCTCTCAGTTGATCGACTGGCCAGGTAGTGATGCTCCAAGTTTCTTGGCAGAGACTACTGTGTGTTTCCAAAGGTGTGCTTGTTTGTTGAGCCTTTTGATTGGTGGTGGTAAATCCCTGGAACCTTGTTTACCAGTGCCTTCAGGGCAGCTTGAGCTTCTTTCATTCTTTCTTGATCATCTGCTACTTCTAGAAATGACGGCGTGTCCACCAGTTGGTATAGTGATTCTGTGTATTCCTTCCATCCTCTTCCGATGCTCCTTGCATCCTTTAATATTTTGCCCGTAGAACCATTCAGTGGTGTAATGAGAGCCCCCACCCCCAAGCTTGAGATAGACGACGCATGCTCTTCTAGTTTGGTTTGCTGGCTCTTCACTCCATGTGGTAGCGAAGGCCTGGTGCAGACATCTCACATCTTCACTCTTGCTCTCTCCATCTTTAACGTGGCAACTCCTCTCTCTCTCCTTCTCCGTGCGTATGTTCCTCTCCTACAACCTGTCAGGTAAGCGAGTCGCCGCAAGATCCTTATACTTTCAAGGCGTGGCCTCCTTTCAGCAAGACCACAAACTAACCAACCCCCTACCAGCATTCCATGTGACTTATCTGGATTAGCAGGTTATTTAATCCCTACAATCCTTTATTTGCCATCCAGTCAATTAATGAGGATTTCAAAATAATGCTTGGGGAGAAGGGTCTTATTACCTAATTCACTACACCGCAAAGAACTTGTTCAGAAGGGTTAGAGGCCTTCTACCTCTGAGCTCAGTGCTCTATAGATTATGTGAACAGGACGAAGACCTGCTAAGCAAGTACTTGGCTGTGTGATATGATGTGATGTCATGTGATATGATGGAGGAAGAAAAGGCCCCGAAACAAAAGCCCAGATTCGGGGCTCTGATAGTGCTGCAGATGCTTTCCAGGCCCAAGACCCAGCCTGCATAGTTCTGGTGAGGATAGATAGAAAAATGTGCTGTGAATGATTAAGGTGCGATGCACACGCCAGGGCCATGGGGCCCATATGCACAGATGAGCGAGCACTGCCGGCACAAATGAAGTGACTGTATCAGTGCCAATGGGCTCCCCAAATACCTTTGCCTCCAGGAAGCTGAGGACTTCCACATTTCCAGTTTGTCCTTTCTTTACAGAGAAGAGACATAGAGCAGGCTATATCTATGGATTGGGCTAGAAGCAGGAGAGAGGAGAAGGGAGTAGTGCACACTTGTCTGAAAGCCCTAGGGTGCTAACGTGGGAACACCCATACAATTTCAGGGGGCTGCAGAGGAGAAAGTCATGGAATTGGTGGGGGTTCCCCAGAGAGGGCGCTGGCCAGCCCAATGGATCTCAGTCATCAAAAGCCACAAACACGTTCACAGAGGACCAGCCACGATAGACATCTGTATACCCTATTTCAATACTTCAGCCCATTGGGGCCAAAGCCACTTGGCAACATCTCATCACTGTTCAATAGACATCCAGTTTCTTGTTCTCTCTCTCATGTGATCTGGGCTTTCTTATCCCTCCTGCATGAGCTGAGGCGGTAGGGCAGAGCTAAGGGCATTAATCTGCACTTCAAAACACTGTTTGTGGGAAAAACCAAACACCATGTTAACAACCCTTAGATCTGGACAGGGATTTGAAATTTATGAAATGCATTCTTACATAAGCCCTTTGGACCTTGTGAAAGGAGCCAAAAGAACCATTCCAGAAAGCTGGGTTCCCTAGGTCAGAAAACACAAGCAGTCGGGAGCAGAACCACGGCAAACTCCTCCAAGTGGGTCAGCGGTCCGAAAACCATGAACACACACAGGCTGGAGCCCAGCACCCTAATACTCAGTACAACCCAACAAAAGCTCATGGTGCCAGCTGAATGCCATCTGGGCAAGAGTCTCAAGAGGGAAACACAGTTTCTGTTGTCAGTAAATGGGAGATCAGGTTAATGGGACCGACTCATCCACAAGACTGTACAGATATCTGAAGATCAATAAATAGCTCACAGATCCTGAACAATGAGGGGGCTGACATCCCAGGGAGGCGGAAGTCCAGACAGGGGCACCCAGAATACTTACCTACTTGGAAGAAAGAGGTGGCTCAGGAAAGCTGTGTGTCTGACAGTCTTACAGGACTGCGGTCGGGGCAGAAGGAATGCAGAGTCCACGGAAGGGGAGGCACTGCTAAGTCACAGTCCCGGCCTGCTTTGGCTGTGACCACAGAGGACTGTAAGCTCCTGCAGCCCATCCTCTAGTGTGGCTTCCATGGCCTAGACATTCTGCAACCTTGAACCTGATGCAGGTGATCTCAGATATTGAGTGACCCCAAGTACTATGTTACAAGAGCGAAAATGCTCACAAAACCTCCTCTGGAGGAAACAATCATGCTAGGCCTCAACTGTTTCTATGAAGTCTTTTTAAAGCAATGTCTAGCAGGAAACTTGTGAGGACAAATCAGAGGGCACTAACAGAAACCAGGCAACAGAATCAGGTAGGCTCATGGGGAGGCTAGTTATTAGAATTCCCATAGGTTGAACACAGGCAAATTCCCCAAACACCCCCAATCCAGAGAGTCAATCCATCTGAATTATTTTAATCATCTCTATTATTTGCCTGGCACGTTGCAATCACCCTTCTCAAATCTGCTTTCCCAAGAGTCTCCAGAGACACCTACTTTTTTAGAAATACGCCTGACCCTGGCCTTACCTGCCCTTCAAGGCTTTTTAACTGCTCTCACTTGGGCTTGCAGGTTTTGTTGTTTCTTTTTTAATTAATCATTTCGCTGGGTGGGGGGGAGGAGAGGGTCTTAGAAATCTTCTAACAATCCATCACTCAATAGTATTAAGCACACTTGACCATAGGCTGCCATCAACAGTTCCACAGCAGTTTCTAATTGAGCCCTTGGTATGGGCTCCACTTTCCCCCCCCTCCCCCACCCTCTCTGGACTTGCAGGCTTATCACCTGTGCGCATCCCCCGCCACGCCCAACTTGTCCTGTAGCACCACCTCCCGATCACACAGTGTATTACAATTTCTCTTTTCATTTACGTGTGTTTCTCCAGACTATTAACCTCTTGGCATTAAGATCGCTCTTGCTCAGCTAGTATTCTTAGCATCTAGCAGAGTGCCTTGCTCAGAATCAGTGTTGGAAAAAATACTTTGGAAAGAACAAAAGCGTTGAAAAATATTTAGCAAAGGACCAACAAGCATTCTTAATAATTGGTGATGCCAACCATTTCGAGGATTCCAAATGCATTTAAACGTACATTTCCAAGGAAGGTGAGGGTGCCATTCAAATGGACAAGCCCGGGTCAGGAGCGGACACCATGAGGTTCAGAAGAGTGGGGTCACTTTTTTAAAAGTTTTATTTCAAGAACTTTGTTTGTAACTGGTATCTCAAAAAAAGGTGGGCCAAAGTACAAAAAAAAGTCAGTTGAATAACAGCGTAAGTTTAGAAATCACAGCAGCAGGAGCACTGTACAGATAGCACAGACAAGACAATCCGACGTATGCCATTCCATTCAGGTTCTTGGCTTTGTTTTTTTCCTCCCCCGCCCTCCTGTACGAAATACATCAAAGCATGCCATGAGACCAGAAGAAGAGGGTTTAACAAATGGTTACAAGAAATAGACTCTGTACAAGAGGGGATAACAGCTTCTTTCTCCCCCCCACCCCCCCACCTCCCACCCTCCCCACCCCCAGGTTCCTTCCTTCTCGCTCGACTTCAGGTTAAGTTATTCTGCAGACAGTTCACATCCAAGTCGGCCTGGTCACCTTTGCTACCCTCCAGTTTGGGGGACATGGAGTTCTGGATGTTAAAGGACTCCTCTTCTTTCAGGCAGGACTTGAGAACTTCCTGGATTTTGTGGGGAGCACTTGGATCATCCTGGAAGAAGAAGAGTGTTTGTGTGGAGACAGACAGTGGACAGGGCAATCAACCAATCAACCAACCAACCAACCACAGGCTTTCCCATCGGGCTGCGAGAAGCATCACTGGGCCAAGGGAGGCAGTTCTGAGACAGGAAGGAGCAGAGAACTCGGGAGCAGTTCCCTTGCAGGAAAGTCACCCTTACAAAGCCATAGAAATGAAAGTGTGGCCAGTGGCTGATTACAATATCTTTCGTTTGGGCCACCCCACAGGGCTGTTGCTGTGTGCCCTCGAGCCGACGCGGACTCAGCAACCCTGCAGGACAGAGTGGAGCTGCTCCAGAGGTTCTGAGGCTGCACTCTTTACAGAAGCCTGTCACCACATCGGTCTCTTCTCCCAAGGAGCCGTGACATTGGTGGGCTCATGCCTTTTGGTTAGCAGCTGAGGCTTTAACCACTCTGTCACCAGGGCTCTTAAAAGCCAAGGCAAACCCACTGCCGTGGGACCCCCGATGATCCTACAGGACAGAGTAAAACTGCTTCCTAAGGTTCCCAAGATTGTAAATTTTGACGGGGACAGAAAGCCTCATCTTTTCTCCAGAGCAACAGCCAATGGGCTTGAACAGCTGACCTGGAAGTCAGCAGCCCAGGGCATCACCCACACCTCTCAGGGTTTTATATGCTGATCAACTCTGCCAGGCCTTCCTGCCTCTCCTCCTTCTGGCCCATCAGGTGTGGGACAGGTCTTGGGCCAGAAACATAGCGTTGTCAGTCAACACCTATGGTGGCATGCTCACGGAGCTTTAGTGGAGTGCTAGGTTGTTCCTGGCCAAGCCAGCCTCAACCCCGTCCAACGCTTGCAAATACACGTGCTGGGACGAGAGACCAAAGACGTGGTTTTTGGTTACTGCCGGGTTTTTGCCTACCAACAGATGCTATCTACTCAGGTGTTTCCTCAATCTAGTGCCACACCAGACTGAATCCCAAGGCCTCACGGGCCTGCTATATTCTGCATCAAGTGGTATTCGTGTTGCCGGTTCATGACCTGCTGCCGCAGCGCTACAAGCTCCTGAACCCCAACTGTCTCCACCTGTGAAGGGTTTTGGGGAGCCTCACGTGGCACGCAGTTCTCCAAGTCTGCATGCAGGCATTGGCCGGCTCTCACGGCAACCCCTCCTGGCCCACTGCTTCTTTCCTTGGGCTTACTTGGCTCAGACCCATGGAGAGTTGGGAGTGATGGGGGTGTCCACTTCTTTTTGAGGTGCCCCACGAGTTACTGTGAAGGCCTGAAACCCTGCTCATCAAAGAGGTCGTATAGCTCATGACCCAGGCCCACTGCCGGGGGTGGGGGGTGGGGGTTAGAATGTCCTTATCTGCCCAGTGAACTAAGACGTGTCTGGCTTGGAGCACTTTCACAAGTCAGCTCATGACCAAGGTCCAGGGCAGGCTCCCTGAGACTCTAGCTCCCTCCCTCCACGGAATCATCACGTGGCTACCGATTTATGGGGAGACTTCCGGGGCTAACCATCTTTATGGCTTTATGGGAGCAGCCGCCTTGCTTTTCTCCCTTGCGGCTAATGGGACTCTGGATATTTTCAACCACCGCTTGGAGAGATTCAGAAAAAAAACTTTACAGTGACACAAATCTACACTGTGAGGTGGAGATGTCCGGGATATAGAGGAACAAGAAAGTAAGAGAATATAAATATGAACTTACTGTGTTTTGTCCAAGTCTACACTTATATATGTACTCATGTATATATGTACACACGTACATGCACATTTTATGGGGAAAGTGGGATGTGACCAAACAGTAGTTTTAATTTCCTGTACTTCTGTACTGTTTGGGGCAGGGGGATAACAGACATGGAGGGCTGTAACTTCTGGGAAGGCTGGGCTTTGAATCACAGGAAAACTTAGGACAAGAAACAAGGACCTGCCCTTGCCTCTCCTCTTGCAAAGATGCGGTCTGCTTTTACGCTTTGTAAGATGATCCCTTCCCCCACTACTCTTTGGGGTGCACGTGGGCCGAAGAACCAACGTAATGTGAAGAAAGTAGATTTAGTCACTCCCTGGGCACCGAAGCTATGATGCCACACAGGTAGGGGCTCCTTCAGCCTGGTACCTCGAGGGCCACGGCATTGAGGCAGATGAGAAAAGGGCTGCAGGCTAATGGTTTTGGAGGGGCACTTTCTCCAAGTAAGGAGAGTAGGCATCCAAACCCTTCTATTAGTCGAGCTTTCTGCTAATCCAAGTGTTTCTGCAAGAACTTGATCCTGTAACGCCTGGTGTTGGTAGAGGCTGAGTCGCTCTGACTCCCAGTGACCCTCTGCATGACACCCTCACTGCCTGCTTGTGCGCCATCCTCACAACTGTTGCCGTGGTTACAGCCACTGTGCCAACCCTGCTTGATGGCCTGCCTCTTTTTAGCTGACCCTCTGCTTGCTATCTTTTCCAGGGACCTGCATCTCCGGATAAACAAGTGAACTGAAGTCTTGCCATCCTCGCTTCTAAAGAGCATTCCGGTTGTTGAATCCCAAAACAGAAAGGCCTGTCTGCCTTTGATTTGGTGGGAAAGCCCCTTACCATGGGAGATGGCCTGCCATCTGGCCTATATCCTGGGAACGACTGTGGGTTTTTCCCCTCCTAGTCTACCCAGCCACAGAGGATCCTTAAGTCCAGGGAGACTATGCATTTAGGCCTAGACTCTTCCTTGTCTAGACAGGAACCTCTAAGAGAGAAGGGAGCAGTAGGGCCCCCTCAAACATATGGCAAGGGCAGAATCTGGACTGTAAGATAAGAGCCGAATAGCAAAAATAGACAGCACCAACCAGGGACACCCTGGAGAAATCCCAGGAACGGGCCGAGGAATCCTGGAAGCTTTGCCAGCTTCTGGGAGGATTTGAGTTACGCCCGAGACATTCCCTGGACAGCGTGGTTGTGAGGACCACAGGTGCTCTGTGTCTGGGCAGTCTGCCTGTGGGTTTCAGGTGACCTCATTCACGCGGTGCACCTGAGCGTCCAGCGCCCCACACACTCAGTGCTCCCGCTGGAAAGCCTGCAAACCTCCACAGCCGGGGCTGAGGAGCCGCCTGCCTTTCCTTTTGGGGCGTGTCCCTTTCGAAGTTGACTGCTCAGCTCCAGGAGGTGCTGTCCGGTGGACTCAGACAATGACCACGCCCCAGCTCCAGGGGCTTCCATGGGTTCAGGAGAGCCCACGATCGGGGCAGCACAGGGCACGCTGAACAGCAGTGGGGAAGGAAGGGCAGGTTCCACTACCACAGACATCAAAGCTACGGATGTTTTTGGTTTGTTTTCGTCTTTGGGGGGATGGGTCTGGAATCTTTCCAGAGTGGCTTGTAGAGATGGTTAGAACTATGTAGGCAACTGACCCAATCTACTTCACTTCCTCCGTGAAGATCAACAGAACGCTCCCCAAACTGGGGAAACACTAGGACCAGGAAGCCGGTCTCAGGAGCAAAGAGAGGGTGCGGGATGGGAGAGCCCAGTTCGGCAGGCCTGACCTCCCAGTTCAGCCGAGAGGCTGCCTCATTTTCATCTGCTGGTGACACCACTTAGAAGCAACCAGTGTGGTGGCTGTGGCATTGAGGTGGCTACCATCTCAACGGTCAGTGCTGGCCATGTCTTGACCAGGACTAAGTGTGACCAGCACACTCCTGGAAGGATGGGGGAAGGTTACTTCCTCACCTCCCAGTCAGTACCTTTGTGGAGCAGGGATTCTCCCGAGTGCACCCTGAAAAAAGGATGCAAGCTGAGATCCCCGAGGCAGAGGAGACCCCCTGCGCTTGCTGCCCCTGGCTCTCCCACAGCCCTTTCTGACACAAGATCCACCAGACCTGTCTATCCCCGGACCCCACTCCGTATTCAAGACTTTTCATATTCTGAACGTGGTCGGGTGGTGGCTTTCACATACAAGTGCCTTGCTTTCCACGAAGCTGGGTCAGCCAAGAAAAGGAGAGGTTTGTATTGGCTCGTGTAAACAAGGCCTCCAAGAAGGGCTATTTCCTTCCCCAACCTACTTGTCAAGAGGAAAGGTAGCTGGGCCCGGGGTAGGGATGTGAGACCAGAAATGGACAGTCCACACACTTCCCTAAGGACCCCGGAGCTCTGTCAGGAAAGCAGAGTTAAATGTGGACAATGAATATGGTGACTGTAGCAACTACAATATCATTCATACCAGATGTCCCACACGTTTACGATGGTGGACCAGGCGGGGAAAACAAGATACTTTGTGGTAGACTCTCATTCACTAATAGTCAATAAGTGTTGAATGAGTGCTTACTCATTATTGCAAGGGGCTGGGTGGGGCAGGGGTGTCAAACATGGTAAGAGGAGAAAGATGCTGACCTGTCCCGGAGGTGCTTATGTCCTTGTTTCCCTTGACCTGGATTTGGTAACCGAGGTCAGAGTTACTATTATTCTCTCCTCTTCTGGGGGCCACTGTTTCCCCATCAGTAAAACTGAGACACTGGTGTAGAAATATGCTGTCCAATCTCAAGAGCCCACGAGTCACTCGTAGCTAGTGAATGGTGTGGCAGAAAGTGCAGATAAAGAACATTTCGATCTCACCGAAAGTTCCATTGGGCAGCACTGGTATAGGATGTTAAGGCTCCAAGGAGTTCTTTATCATTTCCAAGAATTTCTTCTGAAATGCCATTGTTTCCGTGTGAAGAGGCTCAGTGTGGCTTCCTAATCGAAGTAATATGCGTTTATCATGAAGTACGGAGCCTGAATCCCAGGCAAGATTCCTGGATTTGGATGTGACATGATTTGGGGCCAAGAGGTGGTTTGCTGTATTGTTTTCAAAATTTAGCTCTGAGCAGTGCCCGGTGTTTTCATTGGTCAGTCTGTCAGGCAACACACCAGGCCGAACATGACCGGTCTCCTGGATGGAGAGTGTTGCTGTTGTGACTTGCCTCCGACTCATGTCCCCCACCCTCACCCCCACCCCTCAGGTACGACTTAGCGAGACTGCCTGTCCGGCGCCATTCCCAGGGCCCCTGGTCACGACGCCGGAGACCATTGTGGTGGTCATCGTGTAGTTCTCCCAACCTAGCCGCTCGCCTTTCAGGACTGCACGGACCAGAGCTACGTTGTGATCCCTGGGGTTCTCGTTGGCCAGTTGTTGGCCTTTCTTCCTAGTCTGTCTTAGTCTGCAGGCTCCACTGAAACCTGCCTGCCACGGATGACCCTGAGGGTATTTGAAATACCAGTGGCATCACAGCCACACATCAGCTGACAAACTGAGATAGGTGGTGGTCGCTATTGGGATCTAAGGACCCTTTTTTTGGGTGGGGGGATGTCTCAGCTGATATATTTATTAGCCCACCATCCTAAGAACAGAATTTGACTTTCAACCCTAGCCTTAAGAACTACCGTTCTATCAGTGTTCTGTGCTCACTTCCGGCCCGATCCGGTTGTCTGAGGGGGCTTCAAAATGCTGGTGGAAAAATTCCAGTACCTTCTTAATTCCACTTTCCCGTGAAGCCCACTCAGATAACCCTGGAAATTCTTAGGGTTCACAAGTGGGGTCCAGAATCCAGAGGCCAGGGAGCGCCTACTGTTTGCTTCACTGACCGTCCGGAATATCCCCGGCAGGGAAAGCAGAGCCCTTCTTTCTGCCTTGGTCTGAGGAGCAGAAACACTTCATCAGACTTCTGAAACTCAGATGAAGCTGGGAACTGAGCCATCCTAGTTAAAAAAAAAAAATCCTTTCTACTACTTATAACTCTGCTTACCAAGGAAGCGATATCTTCACACCGGCTCTCAATGGCCCAGCCAGTGGCCCTAAGCTAATCTCCAGAGTTCTGATGAAGCAGCACACTTGGAAACAGAGCAAGGCCACGGGAGGGAGCGGAAGCATGCATACAGGGGAGACGTGAAGAAGACCAGTTACCTGACAGATAATGTTATCATAGTGAGCCAAACCACGGGCATGGGGGGAGGACGCACAGGGAGTGTCGCAAAGTTTCCTTACATTTGGGTGGGAGCCCTCAGCAATGGTGGAGAGGGAGAAGTTATCGTTGTGGAGCTCGGATGGGGTCCGGAATTTGCTGGTGAGGACAAAGAAGAGGAGACGGGTGAGTCAGAGGATCGTGACAAAGGTCTACAACAGGAGTTCACACCTCAGCTTCCTGCATCAAGTAACTCTTTTCATCAAAGGCCGTGGATCTGGTGAACGGACCATGAAGGACCAAACCCCAAACGAAACTTTCACCACGTCAATGGGCCAACACTTTCTAAGCTCCTCAGGTTTACATACATGGAACAGAGAGCTTGGGCTTCCGAGGAAGGGCTGGCAATGATATGAACAGCTACGTCCGTGTTTGTGCAAGCCAGGCAGTTACTACAGCATGCCTGCCATCTGGCTGACCATGATGACAGGGTGCCAGCGAGCGTACGGCAGTCTCATTTCAGGGAGGCTAATAGGCGAAGAAAATGTTTGTCTCAGAATCCATAAATTCCAGCAGTCTCTGTCGTGCGTGGGGTACACACAGCGCCCGCTGAGCAGTAACCAGAGTCAAGAAGGAAAGAAAAAGGATTCAGAGAAAAACCAGGAAGGGGGGGCATCTGAACCGAAGGCGTGCAGAAGACACGCTCTGCTCAGGACACAGCCAGAATGAGGACCTCCCTCTGACCACAGTCCTCACTGCCCCACGCCCGGGCAGCGGCTGCCTTCTTCACCAACAGCCTCCTGATCTAGGTGGCCCCATCTCCCCTCCTCTCGGAACACCCAGGTCACGGGGTCTCGGCTGGTGCCTCCTGGGGTGATCACGTGCACAGATCCTGCCCTGCCTCAGTGCACAGGCACAATGGAGGGGCCCTTTCAGCCCCGCGAGAGAGCTGCTGGCGTCTGCACATTGCCTGCGTCTAACCCCGCAAAGGAGCAACAGATGGCGTCTTGTCCTTTTCCGGGCATTCTCTGGAGGAAGCCTTGGGTCAGTGGGAGGAGACAAACGGGGCAACAGGCTGGACAGGAGGTGGGGGGCCATTCTGCATAAGTTGTCCCATGGGCCCGAGGAAGGTGAGGCTCAGTCTCTTTTTGTGCCTGTTGTGACATTCCCGAAGGGGTTTCTAAGGGCGCCAAGTGTTAACAGTGATGCTCTCATAGGGTCCAGTCTTCAAGGCAGGGACTTACGGGTGAACACGTTGATTCTCACACCGATAGCACAGTCGCCACTGCGTTAAGGAAAGAGCGGCATGGCGCCCTTACAATCCAGTGTGGAGGGCTAACCCTAACCACAGCCCCGCGTGCTCCTGGAGGGGAGGTGAAGCGTTTTGAAGTTTCTTGCACTTCTGTTTGGACCAAGGGTTTGCAAGCTTTTAAAAAGCAACGCCCTATGGGCTAACCCTTTGCTGCTCCGTGTTAACTGAGGAGGAGCCGGGATGGAGGAATTGAGGGGATGGCAGACTCGAGGGAGATGGGGTTCCTCCACATAGACTTATGAGCGGACCCTCATACTGGCCACTGAGCACAGGGACATGCTTGGGAAATCAAGTCTGGAGCCGCAATAAGCTGAGCGTCTTCCTGAAGCTCCTTCCATCCCACGTGGGGAGGTGGAAGGGGATGATATCAGGACTGATGCTGGCTAGCTGAGGCCAGAGACCCTTAGGACAGCATCCTGGGATCAGGTGGCGGGGCCAGGGGTCTGGGTGCCTCCTGTCGTAGGAGGCTGGGCGACGCAGACTTACCTGGTCCTACGCAGCTTGGTATTCTCTGTCTTGAGCAGGTAGAGCTTCTTGGCAAAGAACACGGTCATCATGAAGAGCAGGAGCAGCACCAGGGCAGCCGAGCCGACGGCCACACACATGACCTGGAAGTCAGTGATGATGGACTCACAGCGCATCCCCTTGTGCCAGATGTAGTCCTGCGTGTTGCACCTGCAGGAGGGACAGGGGAGGCTGAGGTGGTGGGGCCGGCAGCCCCAGCCCGACCCCAAGAATGACCTCAGTATCCTGCCCCCAGGACCATCGAAAGGGACCATCTTGCCCCACTGCTGCATAACTGATATTCTCACCCCTCTACAACTGCCCTGTGAAGTGGACCGGGCAGCCTGGAAGTCCCTGGTATAGAAGAAAGGTCACTGAAGCTACGTGAACATGAAGCGGCCAGACATGGAAGGGCATCCTGGCTTTCTGGTCTCAGTGGGTCTCAGAGAATCACAGGATTCTCACAGGCCCCTCCCTGCCCTGGGCTTTAGACAAAGGAGACAGAAAACAACAAGATGAATTGGAGCTCTGGCTACAGAATCCTAAAACCCGCGCTACCTATGGAAAGCTATCTGTTGCTCTGCAGTCTCAACTAGCTCACGTGGCTAACCAGACGCTGGAAAATAAAGAAGTGGCAGACAAGGGCAAACACAAAGATAGATGTATAGTCTCTTACCTCTGCAGCGCTGCCCCCATCCCCGGGCCCCCCAGCACTGCCCCTATTCCATTATCAAGAGAATGAACATGTAAGCAGAGTGAGAATCACCCCTCTGGGTGGGTTTTAGTCCTTTTGTTGAGTGACTTTCTCCTGCCCTTGGGGACATTCCCAGGCTCCAACTCTTCCAATGACATTGCTGTTTCCATGGGAACCAGACTGCTTCAAAGAGGAAAGATGTGGAAGGATACAGAGGCAGGCAAGGGAGGGAGGACGGGAACCTCAGGGTGAATGACGAACCAGAGAAGGGGTCCAGAGATGGGTCAATTAGGTATGGGAGACCTGGCTTGGTCACACTACGCCCAGAAGCGGATGGGGGAAGACTTAGCTACTAAGGAATGCCTATTTCTTTTCCAAGGGGACCTCTACAGTCACCAGGGTACCAACTGTGTGAGGATGACGGCTATGCCTCCCCTCCCAAGAGGGGCCCTGTTACACCCGGTTCTAGAGAAGTTCTGTCACAGCTGATCGTTCACCCGCAGTGGGTCAGGGTGACGGAGACAAAAGCACGCTGCAGTCTGCTACTAAAGGCTCAGCAGTCTCCTGTGAGCGGAATGCCAAACAGTTCTCTAGCCACGGCTGACGAGTACACACACGGTCAGAAGAGGCATCTGATAGGGAGGCCCCTGGGTGAGGCTGGGCTGGGAGCTGAGCAAGGGGAACTGACATGAACTTGAGAAGCTCTTCAGAGGCAGGGACACACTGGTGACTTCTCAGCACCGCCTGTGATTTCTTGAGGAGGATAACCTTCTCCCACTTGCAAATCCCTGGAGTGCTCCAGGAGGCCCGGAGACTCCAGAGGTGGCCAGGACTCCACACTTCATACCCTTGTGGGGAGCTCACTTTGAAGGCCTCCAACAGCCCACAAGCTGCCAGTGGGGCAGAGCTGCCACCGCTCCCGGGCTGAAGCCATCACTACAGTGCCCCGAGCTCAAGTCTGAGTGCGGACCACGATTTCTGATTGTGCTTAACAAACTGGCAAAGTTCTCGTCGTTGTCAGTGTCTGCTCATACGCCTTCCTCCTGACAGTCGGCCGGGGACTCCAACCAGAACCCTGCGGTCACAAACCCCTAATGGCAGGCTCATGCAGCATGTGCGTGCCCACGAGCAATTTTAAGGGCTGGAACTCGAGCTGCTACGCCAAGGGCTTCGAATTCAGTGCTTCCTGCGTGTCACTCTCCTCCTAAGGCATCATGATCCGAGGGACTCGGACTCTTGACCTTCTGTCCACGACAGATTGTGAGAAAGGAATAGTGGGCGTGACAGGCATAAAAGGGACATATAAGTAACAAGAGCTTCCGCCGGGGCCCAAGTAAAGCGGGAGAGCGTGCCGGCTGTGATCATATCGCCTCCAACTTGTGGGTGGGTTTTTCTCCAGAATGCTGTCAGCTCCCCATTACACTAAACACCTCACTGGGAGGGCAGGTCTCAAGAATATAGGCAAATGAAGACAAGAGCCCTGAGCAGGTGTGGCACCAAAGAAGCCAAGCTCTTGGGACACTAAGTTTTCTGGGTCTTTGAGAAGATTACGGGTTGTGCAGCTCAAGGAGGGCCACCATTGAGGGGAAGGGGAAAAGCCATCGTTCGAATGGTAGGATATTAAGAAACCCTACCTTATCTAGGGCACTGAGAAAGACTCTCAGGTGATCTTACCTATTGGCGTGGCATCATTGGCACCAAGGTCCCCTCCCTAAACTTTCCAGGCCCACCCCCTCCACAGTCCACGTGGGAAGACTAGGCCCTCCATCTGCCATCCACATCACCCAAGTGTTTAGCAGCAACTCTTTCCTGCTGAGATGGCTTGGGGGGGGGGGGTCTCTTCTCTTTTTGCTGCTGTAGCCAGAACTTTCCACCCCAAAACGCGTCCACCCTGCAAGGATCTCCCCTTGAAACCTCAGGAAGAAGCGCTTGCCAGATGAGGAATTTGGTAAGGCCCACAGACTTACAGAGAATACAGACGCTTACTTCTAGGGAAGCTCTCCTAGCGATGGAATCACAGGAACTCCGTTCCAAGAAATCATTTCAAAGCCAAGACAGGACGAGCGACCATGTCTTGACCTGAGGGTCTTGGGAGTGTCTAACACACTTTGGAAACTGTGTCTCTCACACTTCTGCCTTTTGAGCAGAGGCGGACTCACATACATACCCTCTTCAGAAGCCCCCTGGGCACCTGTCTGGCACACCCTTACCTGCAGAAGGCCCCTATGTTCTCCACCAGGTAGCACTGGCCGCCATTGTGGCAGTAACTGGGGAAGAGGTCGCACACTGACCGGCAGGAGCCGTTATGTCGCACGAAGCCACTGCGGCACTCGGTGCCATTTCCTGGCTCTCCCGGGCGGGGTCGGAGGGCAATGCTGCCGCCAGGGGCGAGGCCCAGAGTGTGCTGCGGGGGCACCGCATGCCACTGGTGAGTGGGCTGGCCTGGCCCTGGCCCAGGGCCAGGCTTCTTGGTGGGCACGAGAACGTTTTCATCTTCCAGGTCTCCACCTCCCACCGCATCCCGGTCATCTTCCTCTTCCTCCTCCTCTTCCTCTAAGTCATCATAGAACGAGGTGGTGGGGTAGAAATCAGATTCGTCGAAGGGGGTGAAGTCATCATACAGGTCAAGCAGGCTCCACGAAGGTGTCTCTCCCCCGGTGTCGGTATCGGGGTGGTGTTCCGAGGTCCCTAGCGACCCCGGGAAGCCTCCAGGGTCGGCACCACGGCCCTCCCCATCCAATCCTTCGAAGTAGTCGATGTCAATTATATCGGAGGCTGGGTGGGGCTCCGGCGTGCCCTGCACAGGGTGCGTGGGCTCCGGCTCAGATGGGCCAGGTGTGCCCCCTCCTAGGTTCAGCCAAACCTCCAAGGGGTTCTCCTTGGGGAGCTCTGGGCCTGGGGTGGGGGACGGTGCTCCGCTAGCCTCGGGGGTGGCTGGGGGCACTGGCGACTGTTCGAGGGCCTCCTTGTCTGGGGGCGGCGGCGTGGCCGGGGGTGCCTGGGCGTCGCCACTGCCCACCTCGGCGGTCACTCCCCCCAGGTTGGGGCTCTCAGTCTCCAGCCAGGCGGCGCCCGTGACCGCGGCGGATGCCTCCAGCGCCTCCTCTGGCCCAGGCCCAAGCCTGGGGCCGGCCGCGGCCTGCTGGCCGGCGGGCGAGCTCCACGCCGCCTCGTCGTCCGCCGGCACGGGCGGACTGGGCCCCGCGCGCGTGTCGTTGGCGCGCGGCTCCCACGCCAGGACGCGCTTCGCAGGCTCCTCAGCCTCGACGGCGCTGCCCGCCTCGCGCGCTGTGGGCGGGAGGGCGAGGGGCGGGGCGTCAGGGCCTGGCGGGAGTTCCCGAGCCGCGCCGCGCCCGCCCCCCACGGACCGAGGCCACGCCCCCGCCTCTCAGCCGAGTCCCGGGGTCCGCCCTGCTGGGCCTGGGAACACCCCCAGGGTCCAAGGTTCGCCCGCAAAGGCTCCGCAACAGACCCACCAGTCTAGGAGGTCCGGGCGGGGACGCCCTCCGCTCCAGCCTCGGGTCCCAGTCTGGCCCCGCCCCCGCCTCCAGGCCCCGCCCCGAGGTCTCACCCGCAGACCACACCCACCAGCGGGCCCCGCCCCCATCCTGCAGCGCGGTCCGCAACCCGGGCCGGGGC